CCCCGCCAGCAAGTGCTGCACCGACCAGCTCTGTGGTGCAGGTGCTGCCGCCGCCGCCTCCACCGGTCCGCATTCCCCGCAGCCCGCCGAGGAGGACGCCAAGGCCTTGAATTTCTTTATCGGCGAGCGCGTGCGCCGTAAAAGAAAACACAAGAAGAGGGAGAAATATGATGTGGGTTCAAACGCATTCTTGGCTGAGCCTCCCTCTGATGAGGCTCGCTCGTCTGTCGCTGAAGCCGCTGCTGTGCATGAAGATGTGGTTTCTAAAGCATTCTTGGCTGAGCCTCCCTCTGATGAGGCTCGCTCGTCTGTCGCTGAAGCCGCTTCTGCAATATCTCCCTCAGTGGTCTCCTCAAGTGCTGGTTTGGCTGAGCCTCCAACTGTTGAGGCTCGCCCTACTCTTGTGGATTCCTTTTTGGCTGAGCCTCCGTCTGATGAGGTTCGCCTTTCAGCTGCCATTTTGGCTGAGCCTCTTTCCGAGGCTTGCCCAGGAGTGTCCGTTGACGCTGGTTTGGGGCTGCCTCCTTCGGTTGAGGCGCCCTCCGATCAGATGGCTATGAGCGCTCTTTCGGGTGAGGTGGAAATTTCGGCTTTTTCTGGGCAGCATTTTTCCGGCTCGAGTTTTGACGAGGGGCGCTCTCGGTCTCTGACCTCGAGTTGCTCAGCCGCTTTTCCGACGGAGATGAGGTAATTAGACAGCTGCGGGAGGAGCCGTGGCTAGTGGCACCCGTTTTGAGTGCAGCGTCGCGGTTGGTCCCGGTAGAGGCTACAAGGCTCCTGCCGGTCGTATCGGCCCTGCAGGCGCACGCTGGCTAGGCAGATTTATGCAGTTAGCCTCATTTTTCATGCCGCGAAGTTTTAACATGCTTGCAGAGTTTTGCTTGGCGTTCGCACACAATGAAAAAATCCTCGCCCAGACCTCACAATTCGCCGGCCCAACGGGCCAGAGGCGTGCTAAGATCTCCGGTAACTGGTTAACAATTCTCTAGTTCGCGCGCGCGGGGCGGCCCCTGGGGGTCCCCGGACGAAAAGTACCCCGGGCGATCCCCGACCGACCCCCGGGAGACTCCCCCAGAGCGCTCCAGGAGCGCACCAACAGGGCTCCGAGACGTCCCCGAGAGCCCCAAGAAAGGCCAAGAGGCCCCCAAGAGGCCCCCAAGATGGTACACGAGGGGTCCGACATGCCACAAGATCGCTCCAAGACGCCCAAGATAGCCCCCAGACGCCCCAAGAGGCCTCCAAGAGCACTCCCAAGAGAGCCCTAGGAGGCAAAATTCATTGCTTTTCCTTAGGTTTTTGAGAGATTTTGGAGTTTCCACCTTTTCGGCTTCCCGACGCCCCAAGACGGCCCAAGAGGCCCCCAAGATCGCCCCAAGAGGGCCCCAGAGGCCCCCAAGAGGGCCCCAAGATGGCCCAAGAGGGCTCGAAGACGGCCCAAGAAGCCTCCAAGACAAGAGGGCCCCAAGAACGCTTCAAGAACGCCCCAAGAGGGGGTTCACGAAACAGAATTTCGAGCTCTCGGCCCTTAGAGGCTCCCGGGAGGCCCCAAGACGCCCCCGAAGGCCCCCAGAGGCCCCCAAGAGGCCCTCAAGAGGCCTCAAGAGGCCTCCAAAAGGCCCTCTGGAGGCCTCCAAAAAACCCTCAGGAGGCCCCCAGGACGCCTCCAAGACTCCAGCCAGACGCGACTTGGGAAACGCGGGTCGGGGTGGTCCTCCTCCCCCGCGTTCGGCTCCCGACGCCGCAGCTCCACACTGCCAACGACCACTCGGACAGGCGACCACGGTGCGACATTATGGGCCGGCGGAATGAGCGAAGCGATTAATAAATACGCTCCTGACTGGGGCTCCCAAGGAGGAGCGGCGCGCCCGGGGGAAAAAGTGAGAGGGGGCGAGCTTTCTCAGAAGGCGGCGGGGTTTAGGATGCAATTGTTGCGTGGCCCGCGGCACTGAGGTTCCAGGAACGGTGCTTTGGCACGATTGGGGGTTATCAGACAGGTGTCGCTGGAAATATCCTGCAATGAAACTAACTTGTTGCAGGAACCTTCGAAGACGGAACTTAGAGGGAGGGCCTATTGCAAAATCGCTGGCGCGTCTTAGGTTTACGCTGGTCCTCCCCCTCCCCCTCCTTCTCCTCCTCCTCCTCCTCCTCCTCCTCCTCCTCCTCCTTCCCCGACGACGACGACGGCGGCGACGACGGCGACGGCGACGACGGCGGCCCGGGAAGCGCGGCCGCGGGCGGCGCCTGCACGGAGCGATCGGGCGAGAGGCGCGGCGGGCTCGGCGCTCGAGCCGAAGCGGAGCCTCCGCGGCTGCGGCCCTCCGCCGCGGCACCGGCGAGGCGGCGGCGGTCAGCGACGAGGGCCGCTGGACGAGGGACGCTGCCCGAAGACGCCACGCACGGAAGGCATCCAGGCCGATGTCTTTCGCCGTTCTCGGCCCCTATAGGTGCCCTCGCCGGGCCTCGGGGCCGTCCAAAACGGCCCGGGGTGAGAAGCCGGCCCCGGGGACGGGGTCGGGACTTCCGGGGGGCCCGCACAGCCAGCCCGTACAAGGAGTCGCGCGCGAGAGGGATGCGAGAGCCGTGGAGGGCCATGCCGGCACGCTGCGAGCGGGGGGCGGCCCGCGAAGGCAGCCGAGGATGGGCCGAGGGAGAAGGATGCAAGGACAACCTGGGGAAGCTGATCATCCTTACGATGCGGGTTGACTGCATCGGGAAGATCCATAGAAGAAGAAGAAGAAACTGCATACTTGAAGGGGCCCCAGGACACACACACACATAAATACACACAAATAAAAATATGCCCCATAGTTTCCCGTATTTTCTGGGTTTCTGTTCCCCCCCCCACACTTCCCATATTTTCCCATATTTCCCTGGGAATCGAGGATGAACTGTGTCTGTGTGGTTTTTCCCCTCCTGCATACACACAAACTTCTGGCGCTGCGCGCGGATTTCCTGGACCTGCGCTGGACCGCCCCGGGGGCGGCGCCGGAGGCGCCAGCACAGCTCTACGAAACCCGCGCGGAGCGTCGACAGCTTATGCTTATGATGCTTTTTCGTCTTCGAATCAGAATCAAGACATCTCAAGAGGCACAAGGACACACAAATAAATACATCTCAAGAGGCACAAGGACACACAAATAAATACACACAAATAAAATGATGCCCAATATTTTCTCACATTTTCTGGGTTTTTGTCTTCCCGCCCAATTCCCATATTTTCTCATATTTTCTTGGGGGTCGACGATTAATTGTGTCTGTGTGTTTTCCCCTCCTGAACATCGCACGTCTGGGGGCGAGGGACGATAGAGGCCTCCTAGACGGGGTCAGAGTGGATGGGGTCGGAGGATCGCGCCGCATCGCTGATGCATCGGCGATGCATCGGCGACGCATCGGTGATGCACGGGCGATGCATCGTCGACGTTGGCGATGCATCGGCGCCGTCGGCGTTGGAAAAGTCGGGCTCCACACCTAGCCGCATCGGCGATGCATCGGCGATGCGGCGCTGTCCTCCGACCCTGGGAGGCCTGGAACGTCCGGGGGCAAGGGACGAGTGGGGGCTCCTGCGGCCCGCCGGCGAGCCTCGGCCACTGGAAGGGGCCTCCACGGCCAGAGGCTCGTCGAGGAGCGGGCCGAGGAAGCAGAGCGGAGCCCCCCTGGTGAGCCCGAAGCGGTCACCGACTTCGGCGTCCGGGCCGTAGGCGACTCTCGTCGGCGGCGAAGGGGAGGGAAGCGAGAAAGAGAAGGCCTCATCAGAAGGTTCGGACGTCCCCTGGCCTTCTGAGAAGTATTCTGAGCCTTCCCGAAGACACAGAACACTTCTCAGAAGGCGCGAGGGCTTCTGAGAAGCCCCGCCGCTTTCTGAGAAGGACTGCTCCTTCTCACTTTCCCCCCCTCGCTCGCCGCCGACCGAGAAGCGGTCACTGGCTTCGGCGTCCTGGCCGTAGGGGAATCAGCTGGCGGACTTCCCCAATTCCCCCTCCCCCACGGCAGGTTCGTGTCGTGCCGACTTCGGCGTTGGTTTCTGACACCGCGGGAATCGTTCTACCTTGAACGATCGGCGGGCCGCTTCCGAGACGTCAGGTCGTTCAACATCGACCGATTCTGGGCCACTGGCGGCGTTTAACCTCGAACGCCCTGGCGGGGTCGCCGCTGGTCGACACGACTCGAACCTGCCGTGCACACTTGGTCCCCGTGTGAGCTGCTCCCCTGCCCCCTCGACGCGAGCCTCTCGCCGTCTCCATCCGCACGTGATACAGTCGGGGCCCTGAAGAAGGAACCCTTTTCGTGGGGGGAGGGGCTCCGCGTTCCTTAAGTGTTTTGCAGCTTGCCTCAAATGTTCCTTATTTGTTCGATCGGAAATCGAAGTTTAACTCATGGAAAAAAGGGGCCTCGTTCCTTCTTTGGGGTTCCGCAGGTCAAGCCCCCGACTGTAGGCTTCCTGTCCCCTGGGCTCCGCATCTGGGTGCGGCGCGCCGCGTCCTGGTTCACAGCCGTGCCCCCTGGGGCAGAGCAATCGTCGCACCACTTCTGCACACGTGCTCTCCGCCAGCGGTGCGCACCGCGGGGGCGCAGACAGGCGCCTTCGGGGCACGGAGAGCCAATTCTGCACGCACGCACGCACGCACTTACGCACGCACGCACGCACACACAGGCGTATAGCTTTGGTGCTCCGCGGGCTTGCCCTCCCAGGTGGACATGTCCACCTCCCCCCTCCCTCGCTTCGCTCTTGAATAAGCTCTGATGGTGAAAGCCCGTTGCAGGAATTCAGGCCCTGGACGGTCCAAAGTCAGATTTGGGGCATCTCCTTGGCGCACATAAAATGCTGAAATGGAGCACTCAAAGTCGTTGGCTCCTGCACCCCTGTCAACCCTGACGCCTCAAGTCTGTTGAAGCCTGTTGGACAAACGGATTGGCTGGCAGCACAGTGCCTGAAGTCGGATGGGAATTCGATTCGCACGCGAAAGCTGAGTTTGCCCCCTGGCCATGTTCTAATATAGATGGGCCTCCTCACCATAGAGGGTCTGATGTTGCGCCTCGCAATGAAAGGAAGCAGAGACGCAGTAGCATTTTTGTACCAGCTGGGCTGGCCGATCGCAGCTGTGGTCCGTGCTCACAATCAGCGACTCTACTGTAACGTGCTGGTTCGAATAACCAAGCATACTGGGCAGTCGGCAATGGCTCACTGGGTGATGCACCGAATGCGCAAGGGCGGAGGATGCGGAGGATAAGGAACCAGCAAACGGGGAGCGTGAGGCGAATCGAGAAAATTCTTCTCGACTAAGCTGCACACACTTAAAACGCGCACGATGCCAACGTGCCCGGTGATAACGCGGCGTCGCGGTCAAGAAGCCTGCTCCGACTCATGTGGCGGCCCTGGCAACGGCTTCATGCCCTCCACGAGCAGCCGAAAACACTCGTCGTAGTCCATGTCTGCCACGTCGGTCTCGCCTATGACCTCTGGGACGAGGCAATCTGAAGCAACAGATGGGGACTTGCCCTCTCCGAGGAAGCGATGGTGCTGCGTGGCTGAAAGGGGTCCGCAGTGCGGCTTTTCCCATCTTCACTTCTCAAAAGGAGTCATGATCAGCCCCCAACAAGGGCCTGCTCATTCTCCTGGATTCGAATGCACCCCTCCGCGCTCGCAGCCCAGTCTGTGGAGTCGGGTCTTCCTCCTTCCAACTCTCTCTCTCTCTCTCTCTCTCTCTCTCTCCCGACGCTACCTCACGCTGCTTTTGCAGGTGTTGCTGCTGATAGCCCTGCTGCTGCCGCTGCCTCTGCTGCTGCCCGCTGCGCCGCAGCCGACCCATTTGAGAAACCTCCTCGCGCGCTCCGCCAGGTCACGAGTATATCGCCCACGTCACCTGGCTTCTTTTCGGTGGAACACCTGATGCTGATCTAGAGTGGAGGCAGTGGTGTGTGTGTGTGTGTGTGCCGCACGTGGTCAGGTAGCTGGGCTTCCCCACAGCTGCGCCTGACATGGAGCAGACACGGCGTGGCGGCGACGTGGATAAGCTGGCAGCCCGCGTGCGGTGGGCGCCCGAGCTCTGCGAGGAGGCCTGAGAGCAAGTGGCGCGCCACAGACGTCGCCTCCTCGACTGGCCAGTGGCCCTGCTTCATCGACGGCGCTGCGATCGAGGCAGAACTGCGTCGTCACGCCGATGCCCACCGCGAGACTCGCCGCTGGCTCCAGGGCGCGGTCTCCACGGGCGGCGCCCCGGGCAGACGCGCCCGCGACGAGGAGGTGGCCCCCCCTGGCGCCTGGCCCGCGGCCAGCCCACGACCAACGACGACCACCGCCCGTCGGCGACAGCCCATGGGAGCCTCCCACACCATCTTGCCCGACGCAAATGCGACGCCAATGGACGCCGAATCGAAGCCAAAGCGACGCCGGCCGGCGCCAAATCGCTTATTTTTGTATCGTCGATCCCCAGGCGCTGGCGCACGCGAGTGCACTCTGGAGGAGGAACTTGCGAGGACACACGCGGCTCCCATGATCTGCTTCCGAACACACCCCTTCTCCCGCAATCTCTGCGACTCCCGCGCCCCATGCGACCCGCGCCCATCGCACCTCGCACCCGCCGCCCACCCCCCCGCGACGAACTCCGCGCCCGTCGCGGCCAGCGATCGCCCGCCTCGCCCCCGCCAGGTAGCGCCAGCGACGGCCCGCGAACCCGACGACCCACACCTTCTACCCCTCCTTCCTCCTTCTCCCCCACATTCCTCCCTCCTCTCCCTCCTCCCCCTCCTCCCCCTCCTCCTCCTTATCCTCCTCCTCCTCCTCCTCCGCCTCCTCCTCCTCCAATTTCTTTTCCTTCTAAATAAATCCTCCCTGTCGCACCCGGAGCATACTTTTTAGGGCGGGCCAGGCGTGTCGCCTGAGACCTCCTCACCACTAATGACCCTGAAGCTTCAACAGTGGCAACAGTTTCACAAATGGAGGGCGGGTCGTTTTCAAAATGTGGCTCTCGCCTTAGACTCGCGCAAATTTGTATAAAATATTGCATGAGCTTCACGGATTGAGGGCGGGTCGTTTTCAAAATGTGGATCTCGCCTTAGCGTCGCGCACCTTCGTTTTGAAGGATTGAAATCCGGTCGTTTTCAACATGGGGTTCTCGCCGTAGCGCCGCGCACACTCGGTTAAAAGATGCGAGAGCTTCACGGATTGAGGGCGACCCGTCTCAAAGATGTGGCTCTCGCCTTCGCGCCGCGCACAATCGTTTTACAAAAACTGCAAGAGTCTCACGGGCTGAGGCCGGTCCTCTCCAACACGTGGCTCTCGCTTCCGCGCCGCGCACACTCCATTTTCAAATTCGCAGGAGCTGCACGGGTTGCCATGGTCGACGTACCAGGCATAACGTTTCGGATGGATTCTGGGTTATGAGGGTGCAACAATTACAATGATTCGCGGTGTTGACGTCCCAAGAACGGCGTTCTGGCATGATTCAGGATCGATCGTCAAGACGCAACAGTCCAGTTGATCCGTGGCGTTGGGCTCCCGAAAACAATGATTAGGCATGCTTTACGGTCTTCCAACGAGGCAGTTCCCTCCGTGGAAATGAACCGCTGTAGGGGCCTGCGAAGAGGAAGTTTCAAGGGAGGGTCTGTTCCAACATGGTTGCTGCCTCTTGGGCTTGCACTGGTCCTCCTCCTCCTCCTCCTCCTCCTCCTCCTCCTCCTCCTCCTCCTCTTCCTCCGTTCTCCTCATGGCTCAAGCCGTTCTGGCACAAGCCTACCGTGGGCAGGTGGCGCCTGCTTCCATCTTTCCAGCCTACCGTAGGCAAGTGGCGCCTGCTTTCTCGCCATCAGTATCTTACCCCAGGTCAGTAGCCAAACCTGGGGCCTCCCTCGTCCCATCAGACATGGGCGGCCAGCGACAGCCAAGCCGCGGCAGAGGAGACGGACGTAAATACCTCTGCTGCCAGTCTGGTGGATGCAAAGGATGGACATGGGCGGACAAGCCGTTCAAGTACTGTGGTCAGTGTGGCCTAGCCTTCATAGGACGAAAGACAGGACAACCTGCCTCGTCCCCTCAGTCACAGACTACATCAGGCGGCACCCCCAACAGGTGGCGCAGGCGCCCGTCCAGCCCAGCGCCGAAGTGCCACCAAAAAGGAGCTGCAGCAGTACGTGAACCCGATGGGCCAGATCGTGATCCAGTTGCTGTGTGCGCGGCAGCTGTTCAGTTCTGGAAGAACATGGAATGCATCAAAGGGAGTCACTACCTGCAGGCCGTGGAGGAGTTGAAAGCAGTGAAAGCATCGACACTCGCAGCAAAACCATGGGACCAGCAGCGAAAGTCGCTGCACGACCAGCTCGAAGTCACAAAGAAGAAGCTGCGCAGTGCCCAACAGACGTGTGACAAAACGTGTGAGGCCATGGTCACCTTGGCCAATGACTATACCAACCAGTGCAAGCTCGTCGCCGACCTGTCAGCGGAGACGCAGCAGTTAGAGTCCCAGCACAAGATGGCAGTGGAGCAGGCGTTGAAGGAGCACGTCAGTACCTCGGCCCCCTCGCTGGAGACGCACATCATCAGCCAGTTCCCACCTGGGCTCGCGCCGTCCGAGGCGGCGAAGCAGGCCGAGGCCATGCAGCTGGACCATGACGAGGCTGACAAGCGGAGCCAGGGCATGAAGCGCGTAGGCGAGGCGATCGACCAGGTTCTGAACATCAACGGCCAGAACTCGGCGCTCACGCCCCAGCAGCAGATGGCCAACACGGCGCTCCAGTCCAGCGCGAAGGCGCTCTGCCTGGCCAACAAGGGCAAGGGCGGCAAGGGGGCGGACGGGGCGCCGTGTGGGTAACACGGTCAGGTTCGCCACTATCAATGGAAGCTGCTGGAGATCGATCAGGAAGTTTCTGAAGTCTAAAGCAGCCGAGACGGTGGACATCATCTGCTGTCAAGAACTCCGGGTATTGAAGGATGCGCTCCCGTTCATCGTACAATGGTGTGAGCGAGAGGGGTGGAACGCGATACTCTCTCCAGCCGTGCTCAGTGAGAAAGGGTACCCTGTCCAAGGGACAAGGATTTTGATTCGTGACGGGCATGACTATGGAGTATCACGTGTGCCAGTGCCTGCAGGGGTAGTAGAGTCACGGTGCACAGCAGTTTCACTTGAGCTCCCTGGACATCGTCCATTCGTACTAGTTTCACTTTACTTGGCCGACGGGGTGGGCCTCAACCAGTATAACTTAGAGCTCTTAGCTGGGGTTGCAATGATTCAGGACGCTGTACGACAGCCACTCAACATTGCTGGGGATTTCCATTTTCTGACGAGTAAGCTAATCGAGTCGAACTACCCGCTGAGAGCAGGTCTCAAGATTTTGGCCCCGACAAAACCAACATGTAAGATGAAGAAGTCTGAGTCCATCATTGACTTCGTTCGCGCCTCGTCGTGTTTCGACCAGGACCTCTCGGGGGCCACGGTTCTTGACGAGTACCCTATGAGCCCGCGCAGGCCCGTGCTGTTCCAGCTGCGCTGCGGGAAGCCCTATATGGTGCCAGTCTTGGAGAATCCCCAGCCATTTGTAACCTCCAGGCCTTATGGGCCTACCAACCACGCGCCGTCCTGGTACCGTACGGGGGCTGCCTTGGAGTTTCTGGGCCAGGTTGTCGATCGAGAGTCTGGGATTGAGGCCCGCTTGCTGGCCCTAGATTCGGCATACCAATACTTCGCCTCGGGCATGGCGGAGACGATCAGTATTCGCACGGGCACTCCGATCAAGTCGCCCACGGCCCCGCGGGCGGGCCTCCCCAAGATCCGCTGGGCACCAGGAGTCGCTCGAGATGTGAAACCAGGGGCCAGCTAGAGGAGTCTATCTATTCCGATTCGGTGGTTGAAAAACAAAGTTATGGATGTCATCCGACGGGTTTATTCCCAGGAGGAGTTCTACCTTTCGGGGATTTTGACCAGCATCCAGTCGCCACCCCCAGAGCTCGAAGGTACCAAGGAGTTTGCCCGTTTGCTCGCCAGTTTTAGGACTGCTCTAGGCGCTGCTGCCCAAGACCAGGACAATGGCCAGATGGACCCCAAGCTCGTGTTGAAGGTATTTGAAGAGCTCGATGATGCAGTTGGCCAGGCGCTCAAAGCTGAGGAGGCCAAGGACCGACAACGCGAAACAACGTCTTGGAACAACTGGGTCCAGGAGGCCATGTCTCGGGGTGTTGGTTGGGCCCATCGATGGACCTCAAAGCTCACCCCCTGGCAACCTCAGAAAGTTTGGCGCCCCGAGCTGCAAACATGTCCAGGTCGGCCTTCTGAGTTGCTCCAGTCCGAGGCAACCCGCCTGGCAGGATTGTGGCAGGCAGCGCCGCAGGAGCAGGACTTTAACTCGCCGCCGGCCGAGCGAGACCGCTTGGAGCCCATCACGCCTGGCCAGATCAGATCAGCTGCCAAGCGATTTCCAAAATCTACCAGCCAGACTTGGGATGGGTTTCGCCCTCGTCACTTTGCTTATCTCAGCAATGTGGAACTGGAACATGTGTGTAAGCTTTTGGCAGCGATCGAGGCGATTGGAGTATTCCCGACAGCCATTCGTGGCGTCATTATCACGCTGATTGAGAAGCACAAACCTGGCCAGTCTGAGGGCCCCTCGCACCGCGGCATCGGTTTGCCACCTGCCCTCTGGGGGCGCGGTCCAAAATTCGCCAAGGGGAAGCTCGTCAGTGGGAAAGGGCCAACAAGAGGCCTTATCTTGCTCATCAGTCTGGTCGAGGTGTGCTTGAAACTGTTTATGCTCAGGCCTTGAAGGCTGAACTTGCTGATTACCAAGCTGTCCACACTGGTGGGGTTTTATGGGATCTATCTAACTATTATGAGAATGTCAATCGCAAGAAATGGAAATCTCGGGCGATCTCTTCTGGATTTTCGGAGACGTTCACGTGCATTATGATGAACCAGTATGGGGGTCCCAGGGCAGTTGCAACCAGAACATTGGCTACCTACGCGGGGCGTGCTACCAAAGGCTTCCCTGCTGGCTGCTCGCTTGCGACCTACAACGTCCAAATGTACACGGCTCCCCCCATGGACTCCTGGGTTCCGAAGTTCCCCACCGTGGGCCCCTCAATCTTCATAGATGATTTCATGTTGACAAGCAACAACACAAGTGTTCGCCTGTTGGTGTCGGACCTGGCGCAGGCCTCCGACAGCATGCTAGATTTAATCGAGGAGGACCTCGACTGCTCGGTCGCCTTGCATAAGGCTGCGGTGCTGGGCTCGTCCGCTGCAGTACAGCATCGCCTGGCCAAAGCTCTAGGGAAGTATAGTGGACCAGAGGGAGTCAACCAAGCACAGTCTGCGCCAAACCTCGGAGTCGATTTCACCGCGGGCAACAGGGTCTCGAAGAAGGCCCGAAAAACTCTGGCGAAGCGAACCTTCAATATGAAACGTCGACTCCACCGCATTGCCCAGATTGGGCGAGCAGGTGCGAATATGCGGAAGATTTATCAGACAGGTCTGAAGGCAGCTGCCTACTATGGCGCGGAGGTTGTCGGCCTCACCAACCCTGAGTTGCATGAAACCCAGTCCCTCTACCTCAAGATTGTAGGGCCCCGCTGTGCTACGAGATCCAGGTCCCTGGCATTATCGATATTGGGGGACCCGACTTGGAGTGCTGCCCTGGGGCCGGCCTGTTATTGGGCCAACCTGATCTGGAGAGTTGCTCATTATCCTGGTACGATCGGCTTTTCTCTGGTGGGACTCCGTGAACAAGCCCTCCAGGCCCTCCACAAGCCCCCTACGAAGTGGTACCAGATCCGCGGGCCCTTAGGGGCCACGACGCTCAGCCTGAGCCGTCTGGGGTGGTCTATGCCCGACCCGCTCGTCTTTCGTGACTCGCAAGGCCAGGACTACCCACTCATCACCACCTCCCCTGCCCTCATCAAGAAGCTGTTTCAATCCCAGTGGCAGTTGCGGCTAGACGCGAAGGCGGGGCAGAAGCTCGGTTTCGACGAGCCCCTCGACCCGTCGGTCATGCAGCGCGCGCTGCAGGACAGTACAGTGCAGGCCTACAAAAGGAAGACGCTGCTTTCATATGGCTGCCAGTGCATATGGACCAAAGAAAAGATGGCCGAGGCAGGCTATCAGAATGAAGTCGAATGCGAGCTGTGTAAGGGCCCTGTGGACTCCATCCCCCACAGGCTTCTCGAGTGCCCGCAGACCCGCAACCTGAGAGAGGAAATGTTAAGTGAAGCAGATATCGGGGAGTTCAAGGACCCGAGGAGAGGATTTCCATATGTGTTAGGATTTCAACTTCGACCTAAACCCATTGCTCTGAGGCCCCCTGGTTTAGGACTAGATCAGGCTGTATATTGGTCTAGAGATGGGCTGCCCAAGGAGGTGGCCATGCAAGGTGAAGTTTTCCATGATGGCAGTGTTTTGAAACCAGGGCCCGCGGTGTACGATGCCCCCGCCTGGTCCGTGGTCACAATCGACGAGGACGGCGACCTGGTTGCCAGTCTCTCAGGCCCTGTGGGGGCCAGCCTTCCCCCCACGTCGCCCGCTGCCGAACACCTGGGGCTTCTAGTTGCTACGTCCTGCCCCAGAGTCACCAAAGCGTGGACGGATTTCAAGGGTATCCTTACGGTGCACCAGAGCGCCGAAGTCTCACGTAAGGAAATGTACTCAGGAGTTCCAGTTGTGGCCAGGTCCCAGAGCTGTTTTGCGTCCCCCGGGATCGGGAAAGTCAAGGCCCACCAGGATCTGTCTTCCCTGGAGGTCGGCTCGAGGGACTGGTGCGTTGCTAAAGGAAATGGCTGGGCGGACAAGGTAGCCAAACAAGCGGCCGCCAGAATCCCCGCCCCGTCCCAGGGTGAAATCGAGCATTATAAAGAATGTCGCAGCCGAGTTCAGAGGCTGGCGAAGTATGCTGCAGAGGCGCTTTGCTTGTGGGCCCCACTCGCTCCGAAGTCGGGCAAGAAGGCCTATGAAAAGCCCGCCCAGAGTCTCAATCCCCCAGTCGGGGCAGCGGGAGCAGTCAGCCAGTGGACTGCGCCACCCCCGCCCCCTGGGGGTCGTCCTCGGCGTGCTCGTGCGTGCCGTAACCCCCAGGGCGTGGCCAGACATCAGTGGGCATGGCTAAATAGTCATTGGCTGCGCCTCGCGTGTCACACCCGCGCCCGCACGGACAGCACTCGCAAGACCCGCATGCGGGAAGCATGCCCAGGTAATTCAGTCATGCTGTCAAAGTTAATTAGGGACCCCCAGAAGCACCATTTTATGATTTGTGATTACCTTGATGTAGAGTCCTTACTTGTCGTTTGTAAGAGGTGCGGCCGCTACAGCGAAAGCAACCTCAAAGGACTCAAAGGTGAATGAAAGGAGCGCTTCCAAAGCAAGTTCTCCCAAGGTGCGTGGTCCCTCCTGGCATGCGGCCGTCATCCCAAGAGTAGCATGAAGGCCCGTCCCCGACTTTCCCTGCCCATCCCTGCGGCCCAGCTCCTCAAGGAAGGAGGGGCGACGCAGTGACGAAAGCAAGCGTAAGGGGAGAGCGGATGTAACCCTGAGGTTTCGGTTAGGGTCGGGTCGGCCTAACCCTAGCCTCCTCCATTCGCATGTGATGGTCCTCCGTTCTCCTCATCCCCCTCCATTATCCTCCCTCCCTCCTCTTCGTCCTTCCTCCGTTCCTTTTCCTTCTGGATAACCCCTCCCTGTCGCATCCCGCGGCCGGTCGAAAGGGCGGGCCGGGAGTTTCGCGTTTGACTTCCCCAGCCCTTTTGATCCTGAAGCTTGGAATGTGCACCAGTTTCACGGATGGAGGGCGGTTGGCTGTCCAAATGTGGCTCTCGCATCAGCGCCGCGCACATTCTTGTAAAGTTTGGAAGAGGTTCACGGATGGAGGGCGGGTGGTTTTCAAAATGAGGTTTCCACCTTCGCGAGCCGCACATTCGTCTTGAAGGTTGCAACCAGTTCACGGATGGAGAGCGGTGGTTTAGACAATATGGTCCTCGCCTTAGCGCCGCGCGCTTCGTTGAAAACATGTGCGACAGGCTCACGGATGGACGGCTGGTCGTTTTCACAATGTGGCTCTCGCCTTGGCGCCGCGCACATTCGCTTCAAGAGTTTACACAGATTGAAAGAGTCTCATGCTGAGCATCCCAAGAGCGGTGCTCGGCACGATGTCGGACCGTCAGGGCGCAACAGTTAGGTTGCCTAGCGGTGCTGAAGTCCCGGACGTGGTGTTTTGGCACGTTTCAGGATCGTCAAAACACGACGGTAATGGGGATTCGCGGCGCTGAAGTCCCAGTAATGGCATAACTCTGGCTTTTGAGAAACGGGGCACTTCCTTCAGCGAAAGTGAATCTGGCAGGGGCCTATGAGGAGGGAACTTGCACTGGTCCGGCATCCTCCCTCCTCCTCCTCCTCCTCCTCCTCCTCCTCCCCCTCCTCCTCCTCCTCCTCCTCCTCCTCCTCCTCCTCCTCCTCCTCCTCCTCCTCCTCCTCCTCCTCCTCCTCCCTCCTCCTCCTCCTCCTCCTCCTCCTCCTCCTCCTCCTCCCCCTCCTCCTCCTCCTCCTCCCCCTCCTCCTCCTCCTCCTCCTCCTCCTCCTCCTCCTCCTCCTCCTCCTCCTCTATCTGCTCCCCCCACCCCACAGACCCGCACGCTCGGCCCCGCCGCCCCCGCGCACCACCGACTCAGCCGCACTGGGGACGGCCCGAGATCTAACGGGGCACGAAAGGCGGGAGTGTGGGGGGTGAGATGAGGGAGGGGGGAGAAGGGATAAGGGAGGAGGAGGAGCGAAGACACAGGGCAGCTCGGGCAGTATCTTTTCTTCTCGGTGTAGATTGTGAGCAGCAGGGGGCATGTGGAGAGGGGGGGGGCCTGGCTCAGAGCGGGGCGCGGGCCCCACCCCGCAGACCCGCGCGGAGGAGGAGGAGGAGGAGGAGGAGGAGGAGGAGGAGGAGGAGGAAAAGGAGGAGGAGGAGGAGGAGGAGGAGGAGAAGGAGGAGGAGGGGGAGGAGAATCTTATGGAGGATCTTATGGAGGAAGGCGGGCTCCGGGGAGGAACACGGGCTTGGAATCGGCGGCGCATCGCCGACAGCTGCGCTGTGGCCTGGAGGTCGGCAAGGCACCACCGGCAGATCGACGACGGGACCTCGATGGCTCGGGGATGGACAGGCCTCCCTTTAGTAAAACGTGGTTTAGTGAAAACGACCTCGGGCCCAAACCTGGCGGGCGCAAGCCTGGAAAACGGACAATTCACGAATCGACGTGTCACTGTTGGGGGTTCTGTCCACCCCCGACCCAAACCGTCGAGGAATGGGCGATCGGGGGTCGATGCTACCCTCCGGCGCAGATGGCGCACGCCCAGGCTCTCTCCCTCTCGCGGGGGGCTGGCCGCAGTGGGGGCGGGCGGGCCCCTGTCCTTAACACCCCAGAAAGGATCCGGCGGAGCACAAACACGGTGCGCGAAATATCCCTGTCTCATCGGCTTCCAGCTTCGGGCTGCCCTGATGCCTCGAGGACCATCCCGACTTTGACCTTGGTGTTCAACGCATGGTTGACATGAGCGGTCCTGCAATCGCACGTCTGCTCTCCCACTTTGATCGCCGCTTCGCTGGGTATCTCCTCTTCCCATGAACGCACCATCGCAGCCAAACGCCTGTTCTTGAACACTGCTGATACCGTCTCCTGCACATCCAGTGGGAGCGCCCCAATGCATGGCGACGACTACTGCGACGACATGTTGACAAACACGCTGCATCACGAGTCCGCTCTCTTCAAGCCTCACCCATGCTCCCCGTTCCTCTGCTGCTCTTCGTCCTCCCTGCAAGGAGCCCCTCCGCCTCGCCGTCCACCTCACCTCATGCACTGCCCCGTGAAACATCCCGCACAAAGATGCAGGGCAATCGGAATGCAAGCGAAGTAAAAACCGAACAGCATTGACACCAAACACTGGTAACGATGACAGGCAAATGGCGGGCAGCTCGAAGCCGAAGCCATGGCAAAACAAAACTGAAATTTGGGACTCTTGTGCCCAAGACATGCCGCGAACACATGACAAACAGCGGAACGTGCGACGACCCGCGCCTGCCGTCGGGAAAGCTGCGTTTTTGTTTTGTCGCGGGCCCGGCGCTCGCGCAGTTCGGTCGGGCGGGCACGGGGTTTCTGTTCAGCAAGCTCGTGCTCTGCAAGGGGAAAGCAGGAGGATAGGCTTATGTTGCATCCTCAAGGGACCTTGTCTGTCCCCTCTCGGCCCTATCTGCGTCGAAGCAGTGTCGAATCCGTGTCGGACTCGTCGGACCCGTGTCGAATCCGTGTCAAATCCGCGTCGCACCCACGCCCAATCTGCGTCGAGTCCGCATCGAGCCCGCGCTTAACACAAGAAAAGACACCAATTTCGGGGACAGGCGAGGTCCCCCGAAGATGCAACGTAATTGACACAACAAGCACACACACATATATATATATACATACACATACATTTACACACACACACACACACACAGAGACACACACACACACACACACACGCACGCACGCACGCACGCACGCACACACACACACACACACACACACACACACACACACACACACACACACACACACACACACACACGCACACGCACACGCACACGCACACGCACACGCACACGCAAAGACACACACACACACACGCACGCACACGCACACGCACACGCACACACACACACACACACGCGAGCGGTACCCGGGGAGGTGCCGACCCACCCGAGACCCGTGGCGGTGCCCGAGGAGGAGAAGACCCCGAGGGATGCCTGCGGGACGGCACCCGACTGGGCACGTTGCAACTGCACGTGGCGCGGGGGACGGCCCTCTCTCCTCTCTCCTCCTCCTCCTCCTCTCTCCTCCTCCTCCTCCTCCTCCTCCTCCTCCTCCTCCTCCTCCTCCTCCTCCTCCTCCTCCTCCTCCTCCTCCTCCTCCTCCTCCTCCTCCTCCTCCTCCTCCTCCTCCTCCCTTTCCATGTAGGACGCAGGCCGCGGGAGGGTGTGATCGAGGCAGAAAACAGAAGGCGTCGGGGGAGCGCGCTCATCGCGAAAGGCGCTCGATGGGGCACGATCTGAGCGAGGAGCGTGGCGAATCGGACGAGTAGGCGCCACAGAGAAGACATGAGCATCGGGCCCCCGGAGCACGGCCGGCGTGAGGGGTGCACGGAGATGGGCGGGGGACCGCATGCGAATTTCTCCGCTGGGGCCGCTGGTGGAACTCCAAGTGGTATCCACGTGAGCGGTGCGCAAGAATCGGCGCGGGGGGGCGCATGCCAGCACGCCCACCGGGACAATAGGTGAGGTGGCGCTCCCTGGAGGGCACGATCTGCGTGGACGGTGCTCCGAAATGGTCGAGGGAGGCGCATGCGATCACGCCCACTAGGGTCGTACCCGGAGCGCCCGACAGGGCACGATCCGTGCGAGGGATGTACTGGAACGAGCAAGGGAACGCACGCGAACGCGCCCCGCGGCTGCAGTTGAACCCAAGAAGAAAGTTTTGAAACTAGATCGACCAGTAGAAACATGAAAAGCGAAAAAGCACCGGAACGTTTGTAAACATCCATTGAACCCTATGGTGAACCAGCAGGGACCTCTTGGCGCCTCTGGGGTCGTCTTGGGAGCCTCTTTGGCCATCTTGGGGGCTTACTGTCTTGGAGGCTGATATCCCACTTTGAACCCCCACTTTGAACCAACATACATACGGCAGCATCCCCCTCGGCGATCCGAACGACGCAATTGCTCAGATCCGAACGGGGTTTGTTTGGCGCGCCCCGTCATACGATGGATGCGCGTTCATACGGACACGATCCATAAGAAAATACTGAATCATCTTCTGATCGATTGAAATTTGCCTGGGCGCCGCAGCCAGAAGACGAAGGCCCCTAGTTGGACGCACGCCGGTGTCATTGAAATGAGGCAGCCCCTTCCGTCATAAATCGTTCTGACGCGCAGCCCCTTCAGAATACGCGCGTGCACCAAGCGCTCTTGCGATCAGTGCCGCAAGCCTATCGCAAAGACCCGCTTGCTGCGAGGACACAGGCCAGCTGAGTGATTCAGTCAAACACCAGCTCTCGCAGCTGGCCCGAAGTCTCCTGAGGCATCTGACAAAACCTGGCACATCATCCGACGTGGGCGGCGAAGGAACGTGGAGTATGATCCTGTCCAATCACCAAGGCGCGTCACGCACTGGGGCAGCCCTGCTCTTGAATCACCAACTGATGGACGAACAGAAACGGGTCTTACGTGAGATGGGATAGCGACCCTACGCGGTGGCTTACGCGGGCCGCCAGTGCGGCACGACACATTAGACACGAGGGCGCTCAGGCGATGCCTTACGCGGTAAGCTTACGCGCCAATGTCGGTGCAGATGACCCACTGTTTCTGCGTCGCTCACCTGGCCATCAGTCATGCTGCCTTCGCCGTGCCCGTGCCGAGCAGACCCATCCCGACGGGCGCCCAACGCCACTGGCCGCCCGACAGGCTGCACCGCGAGCTGCGACGACAGACCTCGACGCCCGAGCCAATCCGCGCGGCAGCCGATTGCGCTGACCAGCCGATGACTCGCAACCGATCGGATGTTGCATAGAAGTGCCGGTGCCCCCAGATTTCCAGGGGGGCCCGACGGCCTCCAGGGCACCCCCCACGAGGCCCAGGGGGCCCCGGGGGGCCCCAAAATGGAGCGAAAAGCTGCGGGCACCGTGGGCCAGAGGCACCCTTAGCAACCCCCGAACCAAGGCCCATCGGAACGATCCACCCCGGATATCGGGCTCGATCGCGAGACCATGGCCCACTGGCGCCCCGACGCCTCTTCTCTCCGCGATGCTCCTTGGGGAGGGCCGTCACCCATTCCAAGCCGATGCCAAAAACGGAACGCTCTGCACTAAGCGCTACAAGGTTGTGCCTTCAGGCCACGGTGCACATGGAAAAACAAAGACAGCGATATATGTTGTTGCGCAATTCCTCACGATGGGTACATCTATGACGCCTGGGTGCTTCAACGATGTACAAACGGATTCACACAGCCCAATATTCACCACCCACACATGTAAATGGTCATGCAACTTTCTCTGCCCTATCAATGGATGCCGAATTGCTCCTGTTCAACCTGCAGCCATTCATCTCTCATGACTGTCTTCTCAAAGAAGGGATGCCATTAACAAGAGCTCCAAGGAGCGACGGCAGTGATCGTGATGGGCACCTTGTCCTTGTTGAATGTGAGGCCCAATGGCTTCTGAGAGAAGCGACAGAACTTGGTGGACGAATCTTCTCTTCTGAACGTGAGCTCTCGCGCACCGAAGTTGTCCTGAAAGGGGATGGCTCGCAAAGCTGCATGAGCATGCGCGCACGTACGCAGCTTGAGTCCCGCTCCATCGCAAGGGAGCCTCGCAATCTCCCGCCTTGCAGAATCTGCCTTTCCGCCCCCAGGCTTGCGACCGTGCCCCAAACCATCTACGGAGGGGGCTGGAAGGGGATCGAAGGAGAAAGGCGGGGGACGGTAAGGGTATGAGGTACAAGTTGCCAAGTCTGCGCTGTGATTACCTACAGGCAGGCGACGACAATCGTTGAATGGACCTGCCGGGCCCGTGTAAGGCACAGCGCGCCCCAAGAGGAGAGGCGCCCCCTGCGCCGCCCGTGCAGCCTCCCAGCTCTCCCCTGGCACGCACACGCGAGCCCCACGCGGCTGCGCATCCGGGTGCAGCCGGAGAGGAGCCACACAGAGCTGACAACGACGTGACGACGCGCGAGCCACGGCAGGGGGTGGCGACATCCCAGCCCTACCCCAACCAACCATCGGTTCTCCTGAACCGGTGGGAAGGCGGGGTAGGAGGAGGAGGAGGAGGAGGAGGAGGAGGAGGAGGAGGAGGAGGAGGAGGGAGGACGAGGGAGGAGGAGGGAGGAGGAGGAGGAGGAGACAGGAGGGGTTTGGATTTCGCCACGTGTTGACGAGCTTCGCACCTCTCCTCCGCCGCCCATTGCTTTGCCGGAGTCGTTGAGCGGCGAGGGCTCGAGCAGTGGATCGACCACAGACTTGCTGCACCACACTGATGTGCCCCAGAGCTGTTTCTCGTCGGAACCGTTGCGTCTTCCTTGTAGACTCGGCGAGAAGATTCGTTTGCAAGTCAAGTCCGCAGGCGGTCCCCGACTCGAAGGGCAGGGTTCGGACGACGGCTGCAGAAGGCGAAGGGGACAGGCGAAGCACGCGCGGGAAGGCAGGCTATCGGGCACGGCGTGCGAGCCCGCGGTGCGCCAGGCGTGCAGAGGACCGACCAGGTGCCCGAGGGAGCGGGCACGGGGCACGGGCCCCGGAGGTACCTGGCCGACCCCAAAGGGGGTCCAGCTACAACAGGGTTGACTACCTACCAGACCACCCCAACCCAACCCGAAGACCCGAATTTCGGGTTGGGGGGGGGGGTAAGGGTTCCACATGTGTTTTTTCGATGTTTCCCGACCCCCCCCACTGGAAATCGAGGGTAAATTGGGGCCTTCGGGTTGGGTTGGGGTGGTTTGGTGGGTGGTGAAGGGTGGTGCAAGAGATTTGGTGCGATAGATTTGTGGGTTGCAATGGATGTGGGGCGTGCAGTGGATTCCGGGGCGCAGATGTATTGCTGGGCTTTCACGCGCAATACGTTGCACGCAATACAGTGCACTACAATTCTCCGGCGCAGCAGATTTTTGCAATACAGCAATGCAACTGCCCCAAATCTATTGCACGACCCCCTTTCAGCTGGACCCCCTAGATAGAAGGCGGGCACGGCTGGCTGAGCCCCCTGAGCTGGGACTGACATGGAAAAACGAAGCCAGGGCGAGGACAAAATCGGGTGAGGATTCTCGGGCGCTGGGGCCGTCTCGAAGCGTTCCAGAACGCTCTGAGGGCGGTCCGGCAAGCTCCGGAACGGATTGATCCTCGTCCTAGCCCCTCCCGAGCACGGCTGGCTGAGTCCCCTGAGCTGGGACTTACCGTAACAGCCGCATGAGCCGACGGCCCAACAGAGACGGCACGGGGCCAGACCACCGGCGCCCAACCCAGGACACGGACATGGCACGGGCCTTGTCTTACGGCAGGTTCGTGTCGTCGCGAACCTACCGTACCCCAAACGGCCCCACATGCGGCTGCCCCAGGTGAACCACCGAAGTGCGCTTGTCTATTCAGCGCGGCTGGCCAAAGCATACTAACCTTGGAGGCTTGGGGATTGGCACCAACACCAGCTCTGAGGGCTGCTTCCAGCGGGGGAAGATGACCATGGATGTTGGTGCTGGTGGTAATCTCTCGGCCACCTAGGAAGCCCGAATATTACCACCATCATCGAGATCGGGAGCATCTTCCCTGGGTGGCGACAACCTCCGTTACGGTGGGGGGCGTTCGTTAAGAAATGGGCCCAGGAGGCTTCAGACCCAGGAGGAATCCTTCTCTGATGAGGGTGGCTGTGATATCCATGGTGAAGCCTCAATTGGTGTTCCACCAGCTTTCAGACCCTGGATTCCTTACCGAAGGGCTCCTTACCCAATGCTCTCACCGTATTGCTGTTAGTGGCAACCTCTAGGCCTCCGAATAATCGTGGTCGTGAACGAGACACCGCAAATCGCTGGCGCAGCACGTCGCAGAGCACAGCCGCGGCGCGGGAGCGCAAGGCGTCGCGCGCGGACCAAGTGGCAGCAGCTGCACGGGGTGAGGGCGCGCGAGGCGCCTGGAACTGCGCGACAATCTGGGGCTGCGAGGGTGCGCGAGAAGGTGAGCCGGCAAAGTCACCGCGAGGCGATGTTGAGCCCGAGTGGCTTAGCCAGGCCCTGGGATCCGGGCGTATTTTTTCGCACAGGGTGGTTTCGCCCAATGTCGGGACCCGGGACCATCACAGATCGATCCGGCTCGAAAGATGCCACAGGAAGGTGGGCTTCGGTGCTCTGGTCGTGATGTTTCACGATGTTGCATTTTTGTGGCAACGCCTGATCTCAACGGGTGGTGTCAGGACGATGCCAAGATTCTGCGATCAACGCGCGGACAAGCCAGGAAGCAAGCTCACTCCACGCGAGGATTTGCGATCGTGGCGAGAGGATGTCAAGGTAGAGGAGCAGCAACAGGGAGAGGCAAAGTCACACTTGCGGCACGGTCCGAGTGCTCGAAGACCACCATGCGGAAACCCAACTTGAGACATTCGCGTCCGTCTTCGTCGCAGCTTTCTGCGTCCTCGAAGACCTCGCTTGATCGCCAGAACAACAGCAACCACAGAACATGTGCTCATGTTAATCTCCAGGTTCACTGCAGATTTCCACGAAAACATTACGAGCATCGCGGGGCTGCTGCTGCTGCTGCTACTGCTGCTTCAGAGGGGGAAGTGTCAACGTCCTACGTACGCGTCACCGCTACGATAGTTGGGTACACTTGCCTTCCTTTATCCGTCACCTCACCTCAGAAGACGCTGCACATGAAGAAGCAGGGTGCCAATTTCACTGACTGGTCCCCTGGATGTTCCTTTGCAAAGCTGCGTGTTCGCCCCCCAGAGTCATGGCTGCTGCCCACCGCCTCCTCTCTACCCCTGAGCAAAGGAGGGTGGTTTGGCCTGAAGGAAGGGTCCTGGCGGATACGGGCCTGGGTCCGGGGGGGGGCCTTCCCAGGGACCACCCTCTCATTCGCTCATTCGACTGCGAGCGAGGGGGGTAAGTGAGAAGGAGAAGGCCTTCTCAGAAGGCGGCGGGACTTCTAAGAAGCCCTCGCGCCTTCTGAAAAGTTGTCTGTGTCTTCGCGGAAAGCTTTAAAACGTTATCAGAAAGCCAGGAGACTTCCGAGCCTTCTGAAAAGGCCCGCCCCTTCTCAGTTCCCCCTTCGCTCGCCGCCGACTCATCCCGAGCGCGGTTGTGACAGCCCCGGGGGATCGGGGGACCGAAAACCGATCGTAGAAGAAGTGGCAAAAGCGCAGACACCCAAACTTTCGAAGTCTGCCCGGGTTTCTTGGAACGGCACCCGGAGCGCACTAGATCCGGCTTCGCGTCGGGCGCGCCCCCCCCGCCATCGTCACCTCTGAAATCCAAAATCCACCGACGTGCCGCCAGGCACGAGCTGGAGTGCCCTCAGGCCCTCTGTAGCCCTCGAACCTAAATCCCCAGGATAGGATAAACAGGAGATCCGACTATTGAAAATTGCAACATCGCGAAAAATACGAACCTCAGACCCCATCTTTGTGCCATTTTTGGAACTGGATCAATCTGCTTGGGTCATGGGGCCCGAAAGCGGGCGAAGTCGCCGTTTGCGATAAAATGCACAGCCCGAGTCTCAGCGAACTAGGGAAGGCGAGGTCCGTTTGGGTCTTGGGTCCGCGCGCGACGTCGCGACACAGGACCCTCTGCACGGGCACAGCAGAGTGGTGACAGTGACACGACCTGCAACCCCCAAGGAGGGCGAGGTCGAGTTTGAATCTGCGCAGCACCGCACTCCGCTGTGCCCGATAGCAGGCGGGAAAAGAAAGGAGCAGCAATGCTGTCCCCAAAGTCAGGACCCAAGAAATTGGGGGTTGGAAGATGGGGGTGGCGGGCGGGGGCGAACACGATCCAACGCAACAGTCATTCATCCACGCCCTACAATATCATCGTGCGCTGCTTCCCGGACTTTCCAAAAATGGTACTGCGTACGCTGTGGAACAGTCCTGGATGCGTTTCGATGCTGCCAGCACGCTGCCGGTCCAGAGTCTCCACAGCGACTTGTCTGAACTTGCAGCGGGTCCCAAGAAGCCTTGCCTACTCGTTCCCAATACGCGTGGGGGGAGCCTTGTCCGCAGCTCTTTCGAATCTCCTTGGGAGCTCCTGCGAAGCTCCCTTTCCCCAGCTTGGAAGTTTCCCAGGCATGCTGTCCAGCGTCCTGGCAAGCGTCTCCCACTGACGTTTCGCGCGCTTTGGACGGCGCGGCGATCCGGGTTTTTACCAGATAGTTCCTTGGAGATCTAATAGGGCTGTTAGATAAGAAGCTGGCAGGCAAGGCTAGATTAGAAGCCCGCAGCACAGGGTAGCCCAGCAGCTCTTTCCGGCGTCGGTCCAGAATCCCCGCACCGACTTGTCTGAACTTGCAGCGGGTCCCGAGAAGGAGAAGCGTTTTCCTACTCGTTCCCAATACGCTTCCCACAACAATTTCACGCGCTTCGGATTGCGTTGATATCCAGGTTTTCCCCAGATAGCTCTTGAGAGCTAAGAGGTTCCAGACTAGAAGCTGGCAGCGCAGGGTGGCCTGGCAGCTCTTTCGGGCGCCAAGAGCTGCACCGCTCTGCGATGGTGGTCGTATCTCGAGATCGCAGGCGCAACATCTTTCCTCTTCCTCGCCTCGCTGTGGGTGCTCGTCGCGAGGCTCGTGTCTCCCACCGTGCTTGTCAGCGTTGTGACCGTGGTGCTGCCTGGCGTGTACAGGGCAACCAGTGCATCGACAGCCTCAAGGACCTCAAAGGCCAGCGCGACTGTGGGCGGGGGGTCTCGTCGGCCGATGGGGCGGACAACTTACCTCAGAGGCTTGCATTGGATCGCATAACCGAGTCATTTCAAAATTGTTTGTGGCCTGCTGATATGCCCGTCAACAAGGCCACTCCAGATGCCGCCCCTGAAGAGCTGCTCCGCCACGCACCTGGGTATCGTGAGGACGATTCTGCGGTTAGACCTTACGCCAATGACTCGGTGTCCTGGCCTGCTGCTGGGCCGCCCTTTCAAGCCAGAGTCATCCAGGACGAGTACGCTTAACTCCGGGTCCGTCGCAGTTGCCAGACGTCAGGAATCTGGACGAATCAAGCCTTATGTCGACCCCCTTTTTTGAGCTGCCCCGATCGCTACGACGACTTCCTTCGTCGACCTGATTGGGCTGGGACGTTGGGGTTCCGTCCACGCAGGGATCGAGAGCAGCCCTCGGTGGGGGTGCTCTTCGTGACGAAGAAAGATCGCAGCCTCGGGATGGTCTTTGACACACGCGTCGCCAGTACTTCTTTCGTGGAGCCAGCGCCCGCCAAGCTTCCGACGAGCGTGTCGTGGGCAGGCGTGGAGGTCAGCCCCGAGGTGACCACCTCCGTGGCGTCGGCGGACATCCAGGGCGCCTCCTGCCACGTGGAACGGCCCTCGGACACCGCCCACGCTCTCACCCGCCCGTGCATCACGAATCGGGTGCTGCGCGAGGACGGGATGGGGGCTGGACATCGACGTGGTGCCTGAGAGTTGGGTGATGCCTATAGTCTGGAACTGGGCCTTGCACTTTTGCCAGGATGCGTTGGCCAACATCATTGTTCGGGATGCGGCGGTGGAGGAGAACCGTTTCATCGTCGACGGGGCCCCTCCGATCGTGCTGCAGCGCACCGACGACTGGGCCGTGGCCGCCTACATCGACAAGTGCTGCGCGGTTGCTGGCTCGCAGGAGCTGGCCGACCGCAAGCTGCAGCTGATTTCGGCGGCCGTGTCTCGCCACCGTTTGCCGGTACATGGGGTTCAGCAAGCTTGATTTTCATGGGCCTTGAGTTCGATGGCGTCGCGGGTACCCTGCGAGCGCCCTGTGCGCGCCTGGCTCGCCTACGTTCAAATTCCTAAATGTCCCGGGGCTCTGGGCGTGCCGCCCGGCCCTGGCCCCGGCGAATCTCCTCGCCGGGCCCCAGAAGGCCCCAAGACGGGCCCACGAAGGCCCCGAGACGGGCACGGTGTCGGGATGGGCCGAGGGCCAATAGAAAACAGCCATCGTGCTGCCATGAAGAACGCACAGGAAGGAACGAAGGGGCTGCTCTGACCCGGACGAACCTCGGCCACAAAGAGGTTCCCCGATCCAGATCTAAGGATCGGCCCGAAAACCACAGCCCCTCCTTGGCCTGACGTGGTCCTTCTGTCAGCGCCCTGGCTGCACCACGAAGCTGGAAACACACACACACACACACACACACACGCGCGGCTGGACTCACACGTGGCACACCTGGAGGCCACGCGCTGGATACACCTGCGGACGCTCTGCGAGCAAGGCATACAAGAGGGCCGAGCGCAAGAGAACAGGAGAAGAAAAAGTGCCATATACATAATCGTTAGGCGGTCCGCGTGGATTTCGTGGAGCTGCGCTGGACCACCCTTCCCTGGCGCGCGGAGCGCGCCAGGGGCGGCGCCGGAGGCACCGCTGGGGGGGTGGGCCCAGCGCGGATCCAAGAAATCCGCGCGGAGCGCCAAACGTTTACGTTTATGGCACTTGTTCTTCTTCGAGGGATCCTCTCGCGGAAGAAAAAAGAACGGAACGCCATAATGAAGATGTATGTGTATGTCTTCTGAAGTCATCTGGCCACACGTGCAGTCAGAATGTCTTCTGGCCACACGCGTATGTCTTCTGAAGACATCTGGCCACACGTGCATCCTCAGCTCTCGCCCAGGCCTGGCGCGACATGCGTCTCCGGCTTCCTGGCAGAGTGCCCGGAGCGGGAGGAGGAAGAGGAGGAGGAGGAGGACCAGTGTAAACCCAAGATTTACCAACGATGTTGGAATATACCCTCCCACCAAGCTCACTCTTCATAGGCCCCTACAACGGTTCACTTCCACAGAGGGACCTGCCTCGTTGGAAGACAACCGTTTGAGGACCCTGAAGCATACCAAGACATTATTCTCTGTTCCAACGCCACGGATAAACTTGACTGCTGCATCCTGACGATCCTGAATCGTGTCAGAACGCCATTCCGGGGACTTCAACACCGCGAATCATCTTAACTGTTGCGCCCTCATAATCGTAATCGCGACTCCGTCCAAAACACAATTTCTGGTACGTCAATCATGGGAATCCGTTAAATTCGTACAATTGTTGAACAAGAATGCGCGCGGCGCTAAAACGAGAACCACATTTAGAAAAAAACACCCGCCCTCAATCCGTGTCATTCTTGCGAATGTTTAAAACGAATGCGCGCGGCGCTGAGGCGAGAACCACATTTTCAAAACCACCCGCCCTCAATCCTTGAAGCTCTTGCACATGCTGAAAAAAAGAACAAATGTGCGCGGTGCCAAGGCGAGAGCCACATTTTGAAAACGACCCGCCCTCAATCCGTGAAACTATTGTCATTTGTAAAATAAACTTCTGAGCCATGCACGGTGCGGAAGTCTTCATAATCACAAATGATGAGGAAGTCTCCAGCGAAACGCCCGGCCCGCCCTCAAAGCTGGCCTCGCGGTGCGAGATGGAGACAATGCCTCAAGGACAAAAGATGGAGGAGGAGAAGG